AACAAAAAGATAGAGAAGCAGCTCCAGAAAGACAAACAGATATACAGAGCAACACACAGACTACTACTTTTAGGTGAGTTTTATTTATTTATTTTGCTTTCTATGCTTTCTGCTTCACAGGCAAGTCCTCGGTGTGCACAGCTGAGGCTCTGCTTCCTCCCTGCATAACCTTCTGGGATGTTGTTTTGGGAAACATTGTCAACAGTGTGACTTTGCCATTGCATAAGGCTAAAATGCAGCACTGTGCTGGGTTTTCAGCATGCTGCTGTCACATTGACAGACTACCACTACCAACACCAAAACATGCTGTAGCAGAGAGTCCATAGGTCGGTGTGAGAGTATACTAAAGTGACATAGAGGTGAATATGGTATAAGGTGGGTAAACCGCTGTCAGTGGTGATCATAGGATAAATAGCCACTCAAAACTAGTTTTATATAGTTAATTTAAGCATGATTGTTTTAACAGATCGTATTATTATTCAGCCGTAGTAGCATGGGACTACCTATCATACTCTACAGTGTTCAATCTGGCATGTAGGCCTTAAAAGTTGGCTGAACTGACACTAGTTTTACATTACATGCCATTTTGTGGGTGTGTTGACCAAACGGTGTCTTAAGATAATGTGACTGTAAGGAAAAACACACTGAAACCTACTTAATGTGGAAATGAACATGTGTAAGACTCAACATGTGGTGGTGTGTACTCAGAGAGTGAACTGGAGGTGGGCTGGGTCTCTACATTACATAAGAGACAAATAAGAGTGTCTAACTTTTCCCTGCCGTGCTCTCCTCGTATGTCCATTCGCAGGCTCACCACTTCTATGAAGCCGTGGTGTTCTTTGTAAAAAATCATAATATCTGATTACAGAAATGCCAGTGAGAGCGCGTATTGTACGACACGCCTGTATTTATATTGGGGAGGAAGTTGTGGTGACTTTAGGAAAGCAGAAGGACAGGAGGACCCATACGAAAAACAAAAAAAAGATGTCTGCCGTAAAGTTAGCTACTTTTCACTTATATAATCTAGTAGTTTGACTTTATGGCAGACCTGTGGACCTTTTTGGAGGAGATGTTTAAACAGTGAACAAAGACAAATGAAGCCCAGGAAAGGCTCACTATCAAAAATATATGCTCGGCCTTGTGCTTGGTTTGGTATCTGAAGTTATACAATCCATATTCTTAACGTATGGAAATGGCAGTGAAAGTGGCAGCCAGGAGCTAAAACAGGCTTAACTGTTCAACATTTGTGGTGTCAAACTTTGTGTGTTAAGTGCAGGTGGCATACACATGTTGAGCATTATCATGTCTGTCCATCAGGCTGAAGTTGTTGATCATTGGATTATGCTGCTGAGTATAATTGTAACCTGCAACCAGAACTACACTGATCATTGGATTAACTAGATCACCTAATTAAACAGTTTGTTTAACTTTGAAGACTCACACCTACAAATGGGGAGATGACACAAATATGTGTTGTATTAAGGGGTAGTAGTTATTTTAAGTCCCCAGTTGACAAAGTGACACTTTTACAGTCAAGATCCTCAATGCTCAAAATATGATGACCTTAAGGTAACATTCAAAATCAATCTATCAATCTCTGTTTATGAATGTTTATGCATCTGCACCTTGCATGAGGATAAGTGAATCTCATAAACCTCTCACATGGCCTAAAACATTTATCCAACAAGTTACTTTTTTCATTTTTATCATATTTCCTGTCATGTTTTTATAATATGTTCTAGATACATTCTTTCTTTCTTTATTTGTGGATCCCCATTAGCTGCCAGCAAGGTAGCAGCTATTCTTCCTGAGGTCCACACACAACTAAACACTCATACATAATCAAACATATAATACGTAGCACATTTCTACATTACCATGAAGTTTTTATTCGCCACAAAATTGTGTCACACAATAAATGAAGTGATAATGGTGCAATTATTACAAGTATTTGAATTGACAGTGCAATTCTGTATATCACCACAATATATGCTAATCAGAGGGACAAACTTGCATGCACAAAGCTCTGCCAATGTTTGTTATATGATAATGTAAATATACAGGCATCTTGTATTTAACATTGACTAAAGGTTTTGCATCCTGCCCCAGAGATCATTCACATTGTAGTTGATCAGAGTTCATGACTGTTGCACAATTTACAATCTGTATCTGCATTACAGTGGCAACTTTTCTCCTTGTCTCATGTAGATCGATTTACCACTGATGTTATCAGGAAGTTCAGGTTATAAATCGCTGCGAGTCAACCAGATTTAACAGCAGCCGTGCTACAGTAGCTGTTAACATAACACACGTGTTTTCTGATTTCTTTCTTAACCTCTCCCACAGAAGAAAAGACTATATTGAGAAAACCGGTAGATTATAGTGTCTTACTCTGTATCTCGTCTGATGAGAGTTACACACAGTTTTGGTAATGTGTGTTGCAAAAGTCACCCAACTTGGGTTCACGAAGGTCCTTTCACAATATAAACACATTTTTGAATTGACATTATTTTTGGAGATATGACTCAGTTTTTAAAACTCTGTTAGTGTGGTTTTGAGTTTCAGTAGCATACAGACAGACTGGGTGAATATTTCCTGTTGGACTTACCACTGATGGCCAGGATCCTCAAAAATTCACTTTGCTGATGATTTGCCTTGCAGACTAATCCAGTCACACATCTTAAATGCATCAGTGTTTAATGCTGTCTTAAGAAACAGATGTAGTATGCAACCAAAATCAATTTCTGGTACAATTCCTGTTGTATTTTTTATTTAATGCAGTTCTTTTGCCCGATGTTATGACGTTTCTGCTTCATCAGACAGTGTGGTGTGGGAAGAGACGGGTTTATGGGAGAGAAAGCGGAGAGCTGACAATGTGACATGAGGTCATCAGTCAGGTTTCAGAGCATGATGTTATGAGTTCATGGTATCCGCTGTGGCTTGCTGAACCACCAAAATGCCCAAGTCCAAGACTCTTCTGTGGCTTGTCTGATAATGTGCGTAACAGCCACAAATAGGTCTCATGGATAGGAAACACTGGCTATAACATCCTAATACCAAACTGTTGCATACTGCCAGACAGTCAAACCACTTTAAATTGGTGTTGTCATCAGATGAGTGTAACGGTGTCAGTACATTTAATCACTACTCCAAAAGTCACCAAAAACTCTTCAGGGGCTCCAGTTCACCTGTAAGGAACACAAACCACAGCATGTCTGTCTGCACATGCTCCGTTGTCACATTTTGAGGCTTTTGAGGTTTTTGTAGATTTAGTTTGACATAACCAACGTTGTCTTGAGACGAGACACATGGCTGTACAAAGACTGTATATCATAATATGGACACACTGCATTGTGAATAAGAGAAATGTTTAATTTTATTTATTGGTTTATTTAACAGGGATGCTGTACATAAATACATATCGCTTTAAATGGGCCTGAGTTAGCCAAATGACCATCTGTAGTCCATGGACAGATGTTACACACCTAAAAATGAATTTAAGATTAACATTAAATCAGTTATTGAAATATATAATAATAAAAAAAGGATATCATGTTGGCAAGATAAATTTAGCCTCACTGTCTTCACTTTGTTTAAATGACTTGTTGATGTTTTTGCAGATTGGTGAATGTTTAAGCTTCACACTCTGACTTTTATACCAAATACCACTTTATTTTTGATTTCACATAATCTGTACAAAGTATGTGGATCCTTTGCTTAAGACATCAAATGTATTTGATTCAGGGAATGTTATGAGTCGTGGTTAATTAATAAGATAAAGAAGAGGAGACAGAATAAAAAAAAAAGGGACGATGTTTAAGGTCTGAGACAGGAAAGGCGTTGAACTGTGTGAAAGAGCTGCAGCTTTTAAATGTTGAGCTTTAAGCTGCTCACTCTTCATGCAGTTATGCTGCAGGTGTGACTTTACAGATCAGCTGTGAGTTTCATTCTCACAGCAGAGGCACACAGGCCATCCGGTCAGCATACAGCTGCCTGGCTAGCAAAGCTAACCACAGCTAGTCTCTCTTAATGCCTTTCAGCAGCATTAGTTTAATCATTCTTGCGGTTGTGTTGACAGCCTAACACCACAGACACAACAGTGATCACATTTTCCTCATAGGACATAAAGGCATATGATGAGCTTCTAAACTTCTGTTTATTAGAAGAGAGTTGTTACATCCTTGGAGGGACGGGACTGAAAATGGATGACTGGCAGTGTATTCTAGACTAAACTGAATCTGACGAGGTGTCAGACTGCTGCTAAATACAGCTTAACACCTGCCTTTTTTAGTGTAATTTGTTTAGTGGTACGAGTTGATGGAGTTGGAGGAACTAACAATGTCTTTAAAAATTAAAACTCAAACTAGTTATAACTTTGTGGTAGTACAGCAAACAGAAATACACAGCTTGCAATCAATCACATGACATTATTGTGTATTGGTGATGGTCATCAAGGCAGAAGCTAAAACTTTGGAGTATACTTCCTGTCAGACACTAAAAATGTAACGCTACCACCTGTTTTTGAAGGGAAATGTTGAAACTTGCTTTCTGTGGAAAAGTCAGTCATCATCAAGTTTAAAAATGTAATCTTGTGATTGGGATCACAGTATCTAGTGGAATAATCCAGTTTATTATTTCAGCCATGACCATGCAGCACTGTCCTTGCCTCCACTCTGAGTTTGCCCAAATAAAGTCACAGTCATGTATGAAATTTTCTGTTTGTTCATTGAAGGTTTCCTGTACGTCATAGTAAGTCACAGCTCATGAACATGAAAACCCTGCTAGGTACATTATGGGGAATAGGACTACTGTACACATGCTGTAAAGTGGTATTTCAGACAAATGTGTGGTCTATATCCCAACATTATGGGTGTGTGTATGTGTGTGGTCTTGTTTCACATGTCAACAGATCCCTAATATCTCTTTTTGTCCCTCTCTCTCTCAGGAGCTGGAGAGTCAGGAAAGAGCACCATAGTGAAACAGATGAGGATCCTACATGTCAACGGCTTCAATGCAGAGTAAGTATGATATGATTAAGCGCCTAGCAGTAGCTGAACATGAGCGTATATCTAAAGTCTGTTTAGGCAGTATCAGCTGAGTGCACCAGATGATACCTCTGTCCCATTTCTGGGGCTGCACCCGGTCTTCTGGAAAACCCAGTCCAGGCTGAATCTGCTCCTCCTCTCAGACCCTTAAGCCAAGTTCGCACTACGTAGTTTTAGCCCTGATTTTCCGCTCACAGACTATATTGGGAGATCGCCGACAAATGCCCCCAGATTGGAGGCAAATGAGTGTGCGCTGGCATTGTATGAACTGTACAATGATGCGACCTTGCAGGCTGAGCAAGAGCTCACAGAGGCCAGAAAAGTATTTAGCAGGCTAAGTACCTGGTCGTGTCCGAGACTACTGGGGGAGCCATGCAATGAGCTACACCCAGTGAGGGCAGACACAGGTAGCCTCGCTCTCCAGCACCAAACAGGGAGCAGCAAACAGTTAGTTACTTTGGTAGCAAAAAAAAAAAGATACCAACACACACATATTGGACAGTGAATTAACAACGTTATGAGATGCCGTGTATCTGACCCACCAAACAGCATTTATTTTAGTTAGAAATCTTAAAACGTATATTTGGTGATTCTCATCTTTGAAGTCAGAAAGTGACATTGTTCATCTCAATGAAGCTGCAGGGAAAGTCCCGCTAATGTGGTAAACCACGGCAGGTTCCATGATGCCTCAGTTCACAGTAAGAGCTGGGACATCCAATTTAACACAGCATACACAGACAACTTGAAAATAATTCACAAGGTTAACAGCATATACATCAATATAACCTGTTTTTTTATCTGTAACTCCCAGATCATTAACAACATATCCAAGTTGCCAACAAAAACAAACAGTGAATTACTATTTAAATCATGTTGGGGCATTTTCATTGCTCAGTTTTATTGTGTTATTGTGTTTTCACTGAATTCTGTCTACTTGAATGAAATGCCTGGTTAATACGTTGTGGTCATGTGATAAAAGTTTGAGTTGATTAGAATTAGCTTTATGCAGTGGATTGTCACTGTTGACAGCCCTGTCAACCCATCATGATTTGGATCTGGTTTATGAAGTGTGGACTTCTCTTTGGGTTTATATGTTGGCTTTTTGGATCAAATAAGACTAATCAGCCAAAACAGTATGAATTTAGTTTATAGTAATTTGACCAATTATTCTCCCCCCAGATAAAACCTGTGTGTTGTCTCATAACTGGGCCTTTTATTTGTGCGATTTGGCCGGTCAGACTGCTGTGCAGAAATGGATGTTTGACCTCTGAAAAATAGGCTAACTCAAGCCTGGAGTGTTGTTGGTGACGTATTTAATATGATATGTCAATATTTGCAGGTAGAAATGATTGATTAATTGTTTTCACTGAAAGTGAGCTAATCTCTCTGCTGATAGCTGGCTAGCTGCTCCATGTAATATTAACATACAGTAGATGCTAGCTAAGCCAATGCAATATAACCACAGTAAGGAGAATATTGAGTGCTGAATTAGTTGAGTCTAGTTGTTAGTATGGTTTTTATTTAACTCCATTGTGACAGGGATTATATCTTCCTGTGAGCTTCAGTAAATGCATGCAAACGAAACTCAGATCAGACTGTAAAACTAGACGGTGCCGATCAAATATGAATCAAGATTCTGTTACTACGTTGCTCATTTCTCACCTCAGATGTTTTCAGAAACATATTTTAGTCTTTGTTTAGCTGTAATGCAAGAATATTTGTGCCCAGTTCATTCTGGTTGTTGTAGGATTTCCATCTTTGGTCATGTTGCACCATTTCTTGTAATATGCGAACAATATTTGCATATTTCTACTGCATAGTCAGCCCAGTTTTATGAAAAGACCAACAATGAAATTCCTCTTTAAGCTTAGAATAGAACAGAATATCTTGTCTGAACATGTAACAAACCTTCTGTGCAAAAATAAATTGTGTCACAGAGGGCAACCAGGAAGTAAGGTTGAATTGAGCTTTCTATAATGCCTCCATGTCACACCAATCTGGTGCCCCAAACACGGTAAAAACAAGCAGCTGGAATTATTTTTTCAGATACTATTTTTACCTGCCTACCTAACATTGTTCTGTTTTTGTAGGTATAAATGTAATGATTTGTTTTTATAATAATAATATAATATAAACTTTATCTGTAAAGCACAAGTTACAAAGTGCTTAACAGAACAAGATGGTCACACAGTCAATCAGTTACTTAAGTAGTAAGTTCAACTGCTGCAGAGCGCTAACGAAAAACACTTGGTTTCCTTTTGTAACAAGTTAGGGTGGTCCTACCTGAGTGGGGGAAGGCAGCAGCTAGGCTCATAGAGTGTGAGTAAATCTATGATGTAGGTAGGAGTGAGGCCTTGTAGGGCTTAAAAAGTAATTGGTAAAAGTTTAAAATCAGTTCTATACCCAACAGGTGGCCAGTGTAGCATTGTTAAGTTGAGAGCGATGTGGTCTTGTCTCTTAGAATTTGTCTGATGGAGATGGGAGATGGCCTTTTGGTTGAGTCCCAGATACAGGGAATTACTATAATCTAGTCATGACAACATGAAAGCATGGATGATTTTTTTCAAGATCTGCTTGAGATTAAGAAAAAGTAACATTTGCAATGTTCCTAGACAGAGAGACCTTGCTGATTTGTATGTCAGCAACAAAGCAAAGTCAAAGATCACACCCAAATTGTGGGCTGAATGCATGATGTTGGAGGACAGGTTCCCAAGACAGGTTTTTGGCATTCTTTTGTTGTCAATTCTTGAATTTAGTCTCTAGACACACAAGTCTCAAGTTTTTCTTCCAAAAGATTCCAATTCTGCTGCTCTCTTTTTCTTGCTTTTTGGTTTCTGGATCACATCCTTGACTTGTGCTTGTTTCAATAAGCAAATCGTGTGTGTGTGTGTGTGTCGTCCGCTGCTCGGTGTGGGTGGTGGCTGTGTGTGTTTGCGCGCTTGTGCCGTGCTCGCTGTGTGTGGTGTGCGCGTCGTGTTCCGTCAGCCTGACTTGCATGTACCGCTCTCTGAGAGATGGAAGCCATCTCTTGCAAGTTACCCCACCGACCGCACAATCCAGCACACACAGGCAGAAACAGCGATTACACCCAACGCGTGACTCACCAACAACCTGAGCTCGTGCCTTGTGCAATCAGAGCTAGCGACGCGCCGCGGCACACGCGGCCCGCAAAAACTAAGGCCCCAATTAATACGTCAAATAAATAAATACACAAATAATAAATAAATCACCGGCATCCACCACCACAATAACACATCAAACTTCGAGGCGGGCAGGACGCGACGGCGGCGCTCACATCAACTCCACCTCAACACACCGTGCACAGCTGCCCACGCCCCTACAACTAACATCCAAAAAGACCCGCAAACACCGCCCACAACCCAACCAACACAACCACATATAACATAAAACAACACCACCACCACATAACCAATAACAACACACCAAAATAAACTAAAAACAAAATAAAATAATATAAAAATAAAAATAATATAATAATAATACACAAAAAAATTAAAATAATATAATATATATAAATATATAATATAATTATAATATAAATATATGTTCTTCCATATGTATGTGTTTGACATTTTACTTTTAATGTATCAGTCCATATGGTCTCATTTTAAGTCTAACAATGGATCACCTTTGTTTTTGAACATCTGCTAAAACCATAACAACAGGCCAGTTGCTTGTGGGTCTCCACATGACAAGCATAGTTTTATTAAGCCTGGATCCTGAGGCAGGACATAAATTTAATGATTTGGGACTGAAAGGGTTCAATAACGCCTGTGATGAAAGAGTTTGGGTGAATGGATTGAGTGTTGTGGTAACCTAAAGGTCAGAGTAATTGGCTTGTGACCGGAAGACTGCTGGTTCCAATTGCTGGCCTGACTTTGGTAAAAGGAGTGAATGAATGACTGACTCAGCTCCCTCTCTATTCTTCCCAACTATGACTGAGCAGTCCTTGGGCAAGGCATGTAACTGCCAGCCTCATCACTAGAGCTGTTAAGTGATCAGCAGCTGAGGGCTGTGGATGCGTGGGACAGTTTTCTTCTGCAGGAAAAGCTTGATTATTTTCATATTGATTTCAAGCCCTGTCCCTGTCATCGGCTCAACATCTAACTGTTAATTCTCTGCATTTATTCCCCTCATTGTATCCCAGACGTCGTCAATGTAACATGTTGTGTCATGTCTTCTTGTTCTCTCTATAACCACACACAGGCATGCAGTCGTACTCTCAACTGGAGACACACACACACACACGACCATGTGATTTTTAATGACTATCAGGTTGAAAATGTAAACAAGGCCTTCTCAATCTCCCTCCTAACCCAATAAACTCTGTCTTACCCCCTCTTTTCTCTCTTTCTCTTGTGTGTCTTGGTGCGCAGTGACCTCACAGGCTTCTCGGGCTCTGTTACCATTTGTCAATGAGTATTGCACAAATTGTATTGTCAAGTCTGCATGTATTTTTTTTTTTTATCCAGTACATGAAATGATTTTAGTGGGAATGTAACAGCTACCTATTGTTTAATTCAAGCCTTTCCGGACCAAATTCTGAATTGGATTTGTAAAATGTGGATTTTGTTTCGAGGCTTTTCTTCCTTGTAGCTGTTACCAGATTCTAGTAACTGTAATAATAACCACTTCCTATGTCTGTGTTACTGATGCTAGAGAGTAAATGTTTTAATCTATAAAGGGCCAAAAGTTATAGTATATCATTGCAGCGACATATTAGCGTGGCCCAGAAAAGGGTATGCGCCTGTATATGTGTGTGTATGTGTGTTTGAGTTGGAGCATGGTGTGGGGGAATACATTCTCAGTATTGACCAGTTGTGTTTTAGCCGATCAAAACTTAAGTCTCCATGTTCACGTAAGCTTGAAGAATCAGATTAATTGAGAAAATGTCCTTGAGACAGTTTCTACAGCCTTTGACTGTAGATGGTGGTTCTTTGTGTATATATGAGGCACATTATGTAGAACTAGCCTGACTGTGACAGAACAGCTCCCCCCTGTGGACACTGTGCACCCTGCTGTAAGAGAAGAAAGCACTTCCATCATGGTTCTCCGTATCTAAAAACCAGATCCATCATGCAGCAACATGTTGTAAAGGAAATGTGCAGCCTTTGTTTTTGGTAACCAAATGGATGAGTTGAACTTTAAAATGCAAATTGCACTGGTCTAAAGAAATTGATAAACATTTGCATGGATTTGTTCTAGTGCAGCAGTGTCCCTTATGAAAAAGTAAAAACTGGCACAGGAAAAAAAGGGGCCCATCTTCCCCTTTGTTAGAACTATTGTAAACACAATGCGCTGTTGTCCTGGCAGGCTCAAGGTGAAAGGCTAACTGGCTCTCTGGTTGCCTTTATTAGAAACATTTCTGTCACAGAGAGTCCAAATGTCTTGTGCAAACAGCTATCCTTCACAGCAGACAGACATAATTTCTCTACGACGCGTGCCAATGAAGGTCTGTTTACCCTTCGCAGATCAAAAACAAACTCAATGCATAAGACTGTAGTGTACCATGTCACGGTAACATGGAACTCCCTCCCTTTTTTTTATTTTTATTTTTTTTAAAAACCTCACTAAAACAATTCTTGCAAACTAAACCCTCTTTTGTGTTCAAAAGAAGAGCATGCCATCTGTGATGACTGGAGTCTCATGGAAACTCATGAAGTGAAGTTTACTCACCACGTGGAGTACTACCCCCGCCTGTAAAAACAGCTGGATAATGTCTTCTGTGGCTCTGGAGGAGCTTGTCGTCACCCTTTTAATACCCCTTTAATATTGTAGTTTAAACTTAAAAACAAGTATCAGGAACCACAGTGGGTGGTGGGTCTGTTGTTTGTGGGCCCTTTTAATTACATAGCGAGAGTAAGTAAAAAGGCAGTGGATATCAATGTACCGCTATTTCCCTTTCTTTCTTTGTATTTCTTACCCTGTCTGTATGTTACTGCTGTACAGCAATAATCTATAACACGATTGTCACTGAACTTGTGTGTGTCTGTTTCAGAGAGAAGAAGCAGAAAATTCAGGACATCAAGAATAATATTAAAGAGGCTATTGAAGTAAGTGGTGTTTTCTTCTATTATACAAGAGCAGAAATGACATGAACACAGCCAGAGTTGCTTTAGATTGGGTTTAATTGAACTGTTCATACAGATTAGCAGACAATCACTCCTGTCTTCTTTTTAATAATCATAAATAATGTCCATCCTCTGTCTTTCTGTCATCCACATTGAAATGTATTTTGTTTGATTTTGTGTGCTTGTGACAGACCATAATAACAGCTATGAGCACCCTGACACCGCCAGTGCAGTTGGCGTGCCCAGAGAACCGGTACCGGATCGAATACATCCTCAACCTTGTCAACCAGAAGGACTTTGAGTTCCCATCTGTGAGTAATACAATATCAGACCCATTTGATTCAGGTGTACAGCTGTAGCTGATATAATACATATAATACAATACACAGGTGCAGGTATCTACAGCTGTGAGTGTGTCTCAGTGGATCATAGTGGGTAATAGTCCCAACATCCCAGGTGATAATCCCTTGACACAGGTAGCAAACACTGAGGTTTTCTAATGACCTGATGGGTAATGTCTGTGTGAGTTTAGTGTTCTCAGTGGGACACTTCCATTAACTAATTGTCCAAGCCAAGATACTTAACCTGAAAGTCTGGGAGTCTCACTGTTTATCCACAGCCACCTGTGGGGCCAGGCTTAATTCACTTTTCAATTCACTCAGTCTCACAAATGAACAGAAGCCATTGTTCATTTTCTAGTGATGGGAATTAATTTGTGTTTTAACGTCCTGCTACCATGATACTCAGTATATGTTGTCACTGAGCTGTCTGTCTGTCTGAGCTGTCTGTCTGACCAAATGATAACATGTTTTTAAAGTTACACCACAGGTCCCCTTTATAGAGAATATGGCAGCTGAGCAGTTTTGTTTTCATAACCTTTGTTTTGTTTTTGTTTGTTTTTTTTAAAGAAAACGTTAACTAGATGTCCACTCAATGATCATTTTAATTTCTATTTTTTTAAACTGATATTCACTCTGATGTAAATTAGCTAAAACACATATAAACACTGGCATGGTCCTTTTTAATGCTTTGAGGCATGTTAAAATGTCTTATGGGAAGAATAATGTTTTGACTTGCCTGCTAATTAATGCATTAATTGACATAATGACCTAATTAGCACAACTGCTTGTGTTTAATGTGATGGTGATTATGGAGGGACGTTAGGCAGCTAAAGCGCCTCTTGTTTCTTTCCATACAGTCGTAGATGACGACCTTCACCAAACAGGGTTAGCTGTCCTACCCAAACTATCACACACACACACACACACACGCACACACACACATCAACCCTGCTGAAGTGTCCTTGAGCAAGACACTTGTTGCGTACCAGCTCCAGTGGCTCTGTTTTTAAGCGGCTCAGGGGGATTGATATTGTCACATCTCGTATCAGAGGATTCAGGTTTTACTCGATTGTTGTAATGTAACACTGGAGAGAGAAGAAAGAGAGGCAGTGATACAGAGAGAGGAAGCAAGGAGCAACAGGGGAATAGAGGAAGCATTACATCAAGAAAAGAAGAATGAGGTTTTTATTAATTTTTTTTCTTTTAAAGCACATGACTGAAAATAAAAGAGCGCTCTGTTTGTAAACACATGATGAGTTTGGTGTTATGGAGGACGGCGTGATAAAAGGATTTTCTAACACATAAAGGACGATGCAGCTGATTTCTCTCACTAACGGGTCGTTGACGTTGCAATTAATAACACATTTTCCAGGTTTAGTGTGAATTTGAAGCAGCTCAACTGCAACGATAAAATTAATTGATCAGGTAATCAACAGAAAATTAGTCTTAACTATTGTGATGATCGATCAATCGTTTTAGTTATTTTGTGAAGCAAAAATGTCAAACATTTGCTGATTTCTGCTTCTCAAATGTGAAAATTATAAACTGAATATATTTGGGTTTTGGACTAAAACAAAACATTTGAAGACGTCACCTCGGGCTGTAGAACATTTATAGACAGAACAATAATTCAATTAATCAAGGCAGAAATCAGAAGATAAATCGATAATGAAAATAGCTGTTAGTTGCAGTCTTACAAGGTTCTAAAGTTTTCTTTATGATGTTCCTGAAATTAAAGTTGAATAAACATAAGTCTCTTCAGCACAACTTAACCATAGCAGTTTAACAAAAGAGATAAAAGGGAAGAAAATTAGATTTATAAAACCTTGGTCTTAATTTTGCAGATACAGTAATGCCAGCTTGGATGTGGCCGTTCTATACTACAATCCAGCAAACAGGTTTAAAATAGCTCAGAATTTAAATGACATTAATTTAAAATACTTCTTTGGAAATGAAATTGAAGGTTAATGTTAAATTGTTCCAGGCATTGTAAACATCTGTTGGATTTCCAACGCATTGGATGTTTATAATTGATTGAAAAATTAGTTAAAAGTTACTTATGGAAGACGATGATCCTCTTTATTCCTTAACGGGGGGGTAGCACATGTATATTTAAGTCAAGTGACCATCTTTATTAGATACGTTAATCTATTTATTTACATGTTGGCACTAAGCTAACGCTCTTATCTGAGTGATTTATAGCGAGTGAGCAAACGAATGTTAGTGACATTTCATTAAGATACATCAGCTGTTAAGGAATCAAATCTGTGAGTTTTCCTATGCGGGATGCTCTCTTTAACCACTAAACCATCCTGCTGCCCCAGGAATTCCACTCATGCTGAGCTGTTGGGAAGCAATTATTTGTTTACGGTTGCTGTTGGGCTTTACTTGTTTGGTTGGTCGACTTGTTTATGACGAGCCCCAGCAATAGTTTCTTTCCAGTTTATGAACCAAGGATGGCGTTGAAGTGTATTCTGGCCCGCCTCCCCACTTGGGATCAGTGCACCCCAAAAGAGACCAAGGGGCCAGGCAATGTTGTAGCCTGGTGTGTGTGTTTGTGTGTGTGTGTGTGTGTGTTGTGTGTGTGTGTCTGTTTGTGTTGTGTTTGTGGTTGTGTTTGTGTTGTGTTTGTGTCTTGTCTGTGTCTGGTGTCTGTCTGTGTCTGTCTGTGTCTGTCCCTGTGTCTGTGTGTGTCTGTGTGTGTGTCTGTGTGTGTCTGTGTGTGTGTGTGTGTGTCTGTGTCTGTGTCTGTGTCTGTGTGTGTGTGTGTGTGTGTGTGTGTGTATAAGTGTATAAGTGTATAAGAGTGTGTTATTGTCAATTCATCTGGTTGTCTTTTATACTATATTCTTTTATACGTAAGTATTGGATAACTTCAATCATTCAAATCATTACGCATAGCAAATTGATCCATCCATTAATCCATTGATCTATTCCATTACAAATCAGTAGAATGTAATGTATTCCCGCTCTGGAACAACGAACTAGCCTGTTTCTGACCTTAAATTATTAACCAAGTTCCCGTTATTTCACTTAAACAGGCCTCAATATACGTACACACTGCTGAGTCACTCCAGTTGGTCTATACTTGATGTTTATCTGCACCTTCACATCAGCGTATGTGATCTGTTGAAGGTTGCAACTAATGATTATTATTGATTAATCTACAATCATAAAAGAGAAGAGAAGCAAATCCTCGTATTTGAGAAACTAGCCAATGTTTTGCCATTTTGCTCAAAAAATTACCCAAATGTTCATTTGATTATGAAAGCAGTTGTTGATTATTTATGGATTAATTGATAGATCATTTCAGCACTGGTTTTTCCTAATGTCACATAGTTAATCAATTGATTTCTTTCATTTTGGGGTCAATATACTCTGAGCAATGAATGCCTCCCGAGTTTTGTTGCTCTACATTGATGCATATTACAAATATTTAATGTATGTTTACACACAGGCTGGCATAGACAGAGTTTTAATTTGTAGTTGTGAGGTTGTTGAGTTGTTCGTTAGGTAATACGTGATAGATTAACTTTATCAATACCCCAAACTCTTCAATAATCTAGCTCACATGTACTGCCTGGAACACTGTGTTTTCAGCAACTTTCAAACATCCTTGAAATGAAATGAACAGAGGACACCTGTTGTTTAGTCAGTACAAATAATGCAAGTAGAAGTGAAGTGGTTAATTTATGCTGTGTCCCAGCGTCTATAGTGCCTGTATATAGTCTCTCTTTCCCTCCACCACTATTTACCTTTACAGACATGTACACAGGCATCGCCCAGGCACAACGTACACTGCATGTGGTGTCAACAAAAACGCTGAGCGCCCGGTGCCCTCAGACACACGCATCATAGATGACACACAACCCTGTCCTCCTCTCTTTCGTCTGTCATAGCTGTCATATTTGGTGTAAGATGCACAGTAAATCATACAGAATGTCTCCTGCTTGTAGAACACTGCAGCAGATGATTATCTAATCAACCAAATGTTGCAGAATGTTGTACTTAAAATGCACTATGTAAAGTTTTTGACCCGTGCTTCACATGTCAGCCTGGTAAACACACAAACACCAGTAAATTACTCCAGTTATCCTATTAAGCAGCCAGAATGAATAAGATGCTCTTCTGTGACTCGGACAGTTTCTGCTTCATGTCATTCATGTATTTCTGTTTCCCCAATTCCTCCTCAGGAGTTTTACGAGCATGCGAAGACACTGTGGCAGGATGAGGGGGTCAGGGCGTGCTACGAGAGATCCAACGAGTACCAGCTAATCGACTGTGCACAATAGTAAGTAGCCATCTGCCAGTACAGATACGTGGTGACATGATCTCGACACTGAGATACCAGGAGGTTATTAGGTGCACCAGTATAATTTAATGCAACAGCTTCGCAAAAAGAAGTATTAGTGAAGCTTATAATGTTAAGTTTTTATTGGCACAGCGTCAGAGAGGTGTTGATTCAACGTTTCATTATTGAGTAATTTTCTCAATTAATTACCTTTATTGTTTTGTCTGTACAATGTTCTTATTTAACTCACATGGGCTTCGGAAAAACTGGTGGTTCTGTGGCGCTACCCTAATTCAGTTTCATGTACACAGTGTGGAGATTTTACCACTTTTAGCCAAATTCATATATATATATAAAACTTTATCCATTCATGTCATTAAAGGACAAACAGACAGAGTATCAGAGATATGTGAAGTAAATGTTATTACATTTTACGCTGGCATACATTGAAAGGTCAGTCACAGGAGAAGCTCTTCTTTGTATTTCCTTCCTGTATGTACTGACAATATTAAAGGACCAGTGTGTAGGATTTAGTGGCAGCTAGCAGTGAAGTTGCGGATTACAACCATCTGAAAACGGCACAGCCTTTCTGAGCGCGTAGAAGAAACTATGGTGGGCATGAAACTTTGAAAAAAACACACAAGGCCCCATCTACAGCCAGTGTTTGGTTTGTCCGTTCTGGGCTACTGTAGAAACATGGTGGTCAACACGGCAACGTCCATAGAAAGACCCCTCTTTTTACATAAAAACACAACAATTCCTATTTTCAGGTGATTTATACGCTTATAAAAACATTCCTACGAAATAAATCTTAAATGTTCCACACTGTATGTTGCTCCAAATCAGTTTGCATCCGTAGTGTTTTTATCAGTGGTAGCCTCAAGGAATCTCAGCAAATATTCAAAGCCGAAGCAACACAGCCTGTTTATAAAGCTACTGAGGCAACGCGGGAATCAGTGATCTCAAACAATGACAAATCTCAAGATCTCTGATATGTCTTGTGTCTCTGATATGTGCAAGAGCCACTAAACTGTTTCTTTAGTAATGCTCATGTTCAACATACTGGAATAATGTCCGATACAGTTTCAAATATGTGCACTTGGCGGTATGTCTTGTGTTTATCTAGGCCCAACACTGCCACCTGTCTTAAAGACTTTTGTTCTTTTGCTTTTTCCCCAAGCATCTTTCCCCCTGTGTCATTAACCTTGTCATTGTTGTATCTAAATGATACACATGTATTTATACAAATCGCACTAGGGCATCTTAAATGTATTTTAACACACAGAGTTTCTAGTTATTATTTCCAAAGCAAAGGCAGGTGAAAGCACAGAGAAGTGAAACATAATAGTGAAATAGTTTTCATGTAACAGCAGCAGTTTGCAGTGTTTGGGAGCAAACATGGCCGAGGCTGAGTCATCCACAGATCAGAGGATTTCTAAAGGAAGGGAAGGGGTGATGTTTGGGGAGGATACCTTCGCTGCTCAGCTGTGGACTGTGAGCCTGTAGCCTGAACTGCTTTTTTTTTTTTTACAAGTAAATCAGTCTTGGTGAATATTACTTGCATTTAATTTAGCACTTAATGGTGCTTAGGTGTTTTAAATGTTTACACTGGTAGTAAGTCCCCCCCTGTTTCTCCCTCAGGTGGTTGAGATGGTACAGTCCAGTCTTTTGTTCCGTCCCTCTTCTCACTCACACATCCAGCACAAAAACACAAACTCATCCTGCTCCTGCTTTCGTTTTCTCCCCTGTCTGTCTTCTTTTTCTCCATCTATCTGTCTGTCTCTCTGTCTGTCTGTCTTCTTTCTGGAGCTACTCCAGCCGCACTAGATTGGGAGCTGATAGACTATTAATAGCGCCTGTGGTTGGGTCTCCATGGTAACTGTGCTGGAGGCCAGGGCACTGGGGAGCTATTTTTGAAATCTGCTCTGTAATGTCAGACAGACGGCATTACGCTTTCATTCTCTGTCTCTCTCTGTCTCTCTCCTTCTGTTTTTTCCCCTCCTGTTCTCTTTGTCCATCTTTCCGTCCCTCAGTTTCTCTTTTGTCTTTCAGAAATAAACAGCTTTTTGGCAAAGTAAACGGTAGATCCTCACTGCTGCTCATTTCCTTTTCCTGTCACCTAGTTCATGTGTGATGCTAAAGCTGACTTCATGCCTAAGTTTAGTGGATGATGCAAACTAACTAATTAAACCAGCAGCAGGAAGTTCATAGCTCCAAATGGCTGCAAATGGTAACTTTATGAAACAGCTTAAGAAACTTCAACACCCAGAAGTTGTAGTATTAAAATTAAAATATATTTTCATGTAATGACATGGTAGTAAATTGCACCCATCAAGATGATTTTGACCATTCTGACCAGTCTGTAATGTTTTTAAGACATCCAAAGGTGAAATAGGTGATAAGTTGCTTTAATTATTTTATTTTATCTTTGTATAATCCACCATCTCTCCAAATATAATATCATAGATTGCTGGTTTTGTTGCATTTTACATTGATGGATCATCTAAAGTTGAAGTGAAGGTGTTTGGCAGATGGTGGCAGATGCTACAAATGCTCCCACCTAATAACTTAATGTCAATAAAACCGTTTCAGTAGATAATACACCAATAAATGAATAATAGTGCCACACACTTAAAGCTCTCTGTGTTTGCCTGTGAAGGTCTAAATAATCACTTCTGTGATGTTCATTCCCTGTTGTTGTTGTTGTTGTTGTTGTTGTTGTTGTTGTTGTCCTGATCATTTCTAGATATGTTTATTAGCTTTTGACACATGTACTGGTGCATTTTGACATGCTGGTCAGTGCTTTGGTGTTTTCTTTGGCTATTGAATGAGTAGGGAGGATGCATCTGCCCTGAAGGTCACCCACCCAGCAAACAACAATATAATTTATGTTGGTTTTAGTCACACTGTCAAAAGTTTGTGTTAAAGGCTTTTTCATGCCATGTAGAACCAATCTGCTGTACTTCATATGATATCCCAGCAGAGATGCTATGTATAAATATGAATGAACCTTTTATTTAACCTTTTACTTAAAAACACATGATGCTTTTTAAACGTTGGAACAAGTTGTAAAAGAGAGTGCTCGCTGCAGAAAAGTGACGTTTGGAGTTCAAACTGTGGAGAGTAAATCTCTGTGCAATAATGGAGCCACTATCTGATCAATAGTTGACTTATTTGTTGTTTTTTCTTCTCTCTTCAGCTTTCTAGACAAGATCGACATTGTTAAGCAGAGTGACTACACTCCAACAGATCAGGTGGGTGAATCTCTGCCACCTCAAAGTTAATATTACTCACACTTCATTATGCATGTATATCTATGTTTCCTATAGAGGTTTTTTTTAAGACTAAGTGGGTTAGAAAATGTGGTTTGTATCAGACATTAATGAGCAAAAAACAGAGCCGTGTTATATTATTTTCACTTTTATAGTCAACATTTTATTCCAGACTATCAATGTTAAATCTTATGTAGTCGTTGTACCAAAGTTGCCCTATGCAAGCCTTGAAATAGGGGCAGAAAATAAAAATCTCATGTCCCAGTTTCTCTTAAGTTTTTCACCTGATCCAGAAAATAAGGACACAGAAGCAATTTGTAGAGTGTAAAGCTTGCTCCAGATTTGCATAGTAATCATTCAAGATCCTGTAGCATGTCTTTATGGTCTTGGTTTCTAGTATTAATATAATATAATAATTTCTGTTCTTTCTACCAGGATTTGCTGCGGTGCAGAGTACTGACTTCAGGAATCTTCGAGACAAGATTCCAAGTGGACAAAGTTAATTTCCAGTGAGTAAAAACTTAAAATAAAGGGGCAGTGAATTAACATGTATATAAAAACTGACTCATAGCTTCTGTATTAAACGTGTACTATGACTCAAATGGACCAGCCTAGAGAATCTAAGATGTACAGTTTCTCCACATGATGGCAGTATTTCCCCTGCTAACACTAATGTTTGATTTTCACAGTATGTTCGATGTCGGTGGTCAAAGAGACGAACGCCGGAAATGGATTCAGTGCTTTAACGGTAACCTTATTAATTTCTGCTTCCTCTTACTTCCCTCACATCGCATCTTTCCCCCTCGACTGCGTCTGACGTATCTCTGCATCTCTCTCGTCCTCAGATGTAACGGCCATCATCTTCGTGGTGGCCAGTAGCAGTTACAACATGGTGATCAGAGAGGACAATCAGACCAACCGTTTACAGGAGGCCCTCAACCTCTTCAAGAACATCTGGAACAACAGGTGAAGAGAGAAAGATACTGTGCATGTTGTTTCCTGACGCTCTGTAGAAGTAAAGATGATGGGGAAAATGCCTTTCTAAAAGTGTGTTTACACTGATTCCCACTTCCACAATGACAAGGAAGGAAGAAAGCTCTCAGAACATTAATAAATGTTTGTTTTTTTGGCTTTTTGCAACTGTAGACAAATAATGTTATTGATCAAGCTCAGTGTCAAGGCTGGGAACTTTTTATGAACTGGCCTGCTTTTTCTCTTGAAAATGATTGCATAACCAAGTGCAGGGGTTTCCTAGCAACAAACACAGCATAACACCAATCAAGGGTAGATCACGTACCTTATTTACAAGTTCCTGCGGTGTGTAAGCAAATAAAAGTTGCAGAACGGCGGAAAATTACCAAGATCTTTGGCAGCGTGTCTTGCATCACAGCAGGCATGGTGGTCACTGAGTTTGATGCCTCAGTTAAATGTTCTTATCCTCGTACTGAATCCAGACTGTCAAAACTTACTCCATCCTTCATATTGCGGGTTTCAGTTGTGGAGATCGTCTGAACTGTTTAGATTTGTCTTTTTGCAGTTAATGCGGACACACTTTGGGATAATAACTTAACCAAGTCTAAGCAGTGATTTTCTTCTTGTGTCCCTTCACACTCAGACACAGTTTAACGGTTTAATGCGCAATGTTAATTCATAGTTGATTTGTGATGTTTTCTTCTCTTCAGGTGGCTGCGGACCATTTCTGTCATCTTGTTCCTAAATAAACAGGACCTGCTAGCAGAAAAGGTGCTGGCTGGGAAGTCCAAAATCGAGGAATACTTTCCTGAATTTGCTCGCTACACCACACCTGACGATGGTGAGCAGTTGTACAGTAATACTGTTTTATCTACTTACACTTTACCTCATACAGCCATTTATTTAGACAGAAAGATGTCTAAACAATATATAAAGTAGCTGTAAAGATACAGCTGCCTTTTTCAACTTGTAAATATCTCCTTTAGACACTGCTTCTTTATTTTGGGAAATAATCTAATCATTGTTTGTAAAGTAGGGTGACCAGACGCCCCAAACTGCCTCAAATAGTCCCAGCTGGAAACTGTTCTCTGAAAAATACCAAGATGTCCCAGTTTTCCACCACCACCTGTGCCAAATATGTCCTAGTTTTTAAAAACCCCTTGCTTGTCACTGTAAAAGTTTCCTGAGCATGCAGAAACATCCCTATGCTTCCACAGGGATATACCAGGACATGCACTGGTATTTCTGCTTTTAGTGTGAAGAAATGTGTTTTTTTAACCTAGGAAGTTCTTCATTTAAACAAATAAACCTGTGAGGGACAGTGCATTTGGTGTTATTGACCACAAGAGGTCATCCTTGATACACACCTGTCATTGATGTTACATAAATATTCACATCATTGTGTATTCCTGCTTACTAATAAATTTAAAAAAGGCCAGTCTCTATCCTGGTTGTTGTATTTGAATTATTATTATCTGAAAGATTGCATGTTATAAGAAATTTGGTGTCATTGGCGCCTCTCTCCTCCTCCAGCGACACCAGAGCCTGGAGAAGATCCTCGTGTTACAAGGGCAAAGTACTTCATAAGAGATGAATTCCTGGTAAGTGCATAGGCATAGATATGCTTTTATTCTTTACAGTATGTAAAAGAGTGTAGAGGGTAAGTATTTTTTCATAGTCGGTATCATTGTTACTGTTAACCAATCCCCTAATAAGACCAAAACCAGCAATTAACTAACAAGTATTGTCTGATATATCATATTCCTCTGTGCCATAGAGCTTCATTGTTCAAATGCTATTGAAACGCATCAGTGAGCCACACTGTTGCATTGGGTGACATGTTCCTTCATTACGATCAGCATCGGCACTGTAGTTTATTTTGAGGTCATCCAATATACACCGACCTGCTGCTGCTGTAAAAACTCACTTGAGCACCAAACGTGTATTAATCCACAGCTGAAAATAGTGCCCAACGGATGTACTATTTACTTCTGTTTGCTAAAAACTTATTTTGTTTTTTTTAGTTAAACTGTATATTTGTGAGGTGTTTTTAAAAGTGTGTCACAGACAGGGTAGGAGAATTGGAAAGTAGTGAAGACGGACTAAACATTATTTGTTTTGGTCTTTTTGTTGGATTCGCTGGCAATTGACAAGAAAAAACAATATATAATAATTTTATTGGCTTAACCAAGTATGTGTTTGCTTTACATCTAAAATTGGAAACAGTTGCTGCTCTTGGAGAAAACCTCAACAGTTAATCAGCAACTGTGTTAGTTCGTAACATAGTCAAATATTTTTTTCACCTTTTCCTTTGTCAATCTACAGAGGATCAGCACAGCAAGCGGGGACGGGAGACACTACTGTTACCCCCACTTCACCTGTGCTGTCGACACGGAAAACATCCGCCGTGTCTTCAACGACTGTCGAGACATCATCCAGCGGATGCACCTGCGGCAGTACGAGCTGTTGTGATGGGAGAGGAAAGGTGTTCGGCCAAAAACACAAAAATACATCGGACTATGAAAAAACCCTGAACCCTGAGTCTCTGAACTCCCCTCTTCCACAGAAGTGTGTGAGCTCTTGTGAAAGAATGGGGGCCAAAACACACACTTATACACTTATACACTTACACACACACTTACACTTACACACACACACACACATACACTTACACACAGTAAACACACCCTGAACCCAGAACTTCCCCTGATGCAAACTCCCTACCTGCAGTAGACAGAGCTGTTTTGATGGAAGGGCTTGAGGGGCTAACACATTAACGGATTCTGATCTCCACTTTCAGCCATACTCCCAGTTCCTCAACTCTCAACATCATATATTGTCCCCATACACGTTACCTTCACCGTTCTCCCGAGTTGCCCAGGCTGGACTGTATTCCCTGCAGTGTGGAGGGGGTGTTGAGGTCAGGATGAAAACTGAGAGCGCTACTACTTCAGTGCAACTGGGAAAGAAAGAACTGCTGAATTACTGCAAATAGAGAATAAATATGTCACAACAGATCAGCTGAACACTGTATTTAACAAAAAAAACACAAGCACTGTGCTCAGGACTTGACTCAAACCGTGTACACCAATCCTTCCTATCACTTACACACATCCATAAATCCAACCACGGGATCTGCTTGCACACTGAAACGTATCACACCTGCTTTTTACTGGACTGCACAACCGGGGTGGATCCAGAAACGTACTGATCCACAGATGAGTGGCAGTCTCGTTGAGCTGTCAGCACAGAGCTTTGAGATTTAACAGACTAAGTGACTGGCTGCGCAGCCAAGCCCCAAGGAGCAGCGTTACCACAGACTTAACGGACCAGGGGGGCGGGTTGTGACCAGTCAGTCCACCGGGGGTGGGCGGGGGATTCACAAAAAGCAGGACCGAGCCGACTCCGATGTGAATTTCTCTGATGGAGTCTAGACACATTTGACAGGGACGACGACAACAGTCCTTCAGCTTCTCCACAGAACTGTTTTGCCACATGACTTTGCCTTGTTGGTAGTGGAGCAAAATGTGAGGAGGATATATTGAGTTTAAAACAAAAAAGAAACAAAAAAAAGCCAACTTTTATGGAACTTAACTATCGGAGGGCAGAAAGCATCCTTCTACAGTACAGTACCATATAAGTTAAAGAGAACTCTCATCTTGTCATGATTGACCCTGTTTTACTGTCTCCACAGCTGTTTTTGTCTGTGTAGACTTTTGTGCCATTGTGCCCTGTGCGCTCTCTTTCTTTATCTTTAATCTTTCTGTCTCTGTCATTCTCTCCTTTTTTCACCCTCTTCTTTCTCCTCTAACCATTTCACTCACTCTCCACCTTCACATTTTCTCCTCTCCTTGCTCATTTGCTCCTTCACTCCCCACCATCTCCTTCCCATCTGCACTCCTACCTTCCTGGCAGTGCTCTTTTGTTTTAAGAGAAAATAAAATATAATAATCCTGGAATATAAAAGAAAGAAGATTACAACAACAAATGGGACACTAATTATTATTATTTTTTACTCATGTGGTCAAACTGCCTGCTCGCACCTCCCTGCCATTCCTCCATCTTTCCTCTTCTCCCCTCCTTCCTCCCCCGACCTCTTGCTCCTTTGTATGTCTGTCTTTACTTTACTGCTGAACTATTATTCTTGTACAGACTGTAAAATGTATTATTTTGTACAACTTTATTGAAAAAAATAACTTTTAGAAGATCCCTGTGCCTTGATCACGACTGTACGTGTGTAATGAGCTAAAGTGGGTGTCATACTGCGCTGTATAGCTTGGCCAATCCTCTCCTAACTCCCCGCTTCCCTCGCCACTTCCTCCTCCTCTCTCTCTCTTTCTTTATCCCTCTCTCTCCTCTGTCCTCTCACTCTCTCCTCGGGGACGGAGGACAACCATTCGTAGCTTTTGTAGTTTTATTTCTCTCCCCTATCCTCCCATTCTCTCTTTATGATTTAAATGTCTATTTTTGGATCCATATACCCCAAAAAGATAAATATATGAAATGTATATGGGTTTTAAAAAAAGTATTTTATTAGAATCAAATGAACCTTGACAAATTGTACACTTGATAGTGTGCGTATTGCTATAACTTAAATCCTTTCAACTGAAGTTGTGTTCAGGTTTCTTTTGTTTTCTTCCGTTGACATCTGCAGAGGACATTTTGAAGGGGTAAAGAGGAGACGACAGATGCAAAACATTGCTTGTTTCTACACAAATCTTATTGTTTTGCTAAAAAAGGCCAAAAAAATTACAAAAAAAGAAATTAATTTCAGTTTATTTTCTGATGATGGGAGAGGGGAGGGGGGGTCCTCCTTCCCAGCCTTGCACAGCAGAGGCGGCCTGTACAGTATTAGCATCTCTCTCATTTCAGTGCCCTAGTCTTCATTTAATGTGTACATCAAATTATGGGTCTCTACTTTCTGAACAGAAGCTCTAAGAAATAAAGTTTTTTTTTGGTGCAGACAGCAACAGGTCTGTCATTACACATATAAACACACTCACAGGCAACTCGTTCTCACATAAGCTGCACTTTTAAAAATCTTATCCCAATTTTTTTTTCTTCAGTTGGACGGCTTGGTCGTAAATCCACACCAGAGGAAGTGGAGTTTCCTCTTCGTTCAGCAGTCATTTCCTCTTCAGATACACAGAGTCTGTATTGATTGTGATGACGATGAAGATTGTTACGTTTCTGATAGGAGGCCCCTCTGGCTTTGAAGCTCAGCAATGTGGACACTTAGAATGAAAGTGAAATAACGAACTCTTCTAATTCCCTATAAAATGTAACTGACGTGCCTTTATCCTGCATGAAGGTAAAAAACGTGTACGAGTTCAAATATTTATCTTGCCATGACCACAATTATAAATTAAACAGTTGAAGGGAATAATTTTATCTGAAACGAAAATTTGGCAATTCTTCATTAAACACAAACACAAGTTAATCCCCATTATTCACTCTCAAATTGTAAAAAGACAAATTGTTATATTATAATTGTAAAAATTATACTTATTTAACCCAGAAGATATTTGTTCTCTACTGTCAGATTTTCTCCAGAAAGCCCAAACTACAGTATACAAGAATAGGCTTTAGGGTAAAGCGCACTGAATGCTTCAACCTAGCCACTTCCTTACATTTATGTTGTATGAGAAGTGGAGTAGGATGGGAACAGAAGCAGCAGTAGCAGTAGGATGTCTAGGATGGAAGTGAAGGAGTGGAAAAGCCCAGCATGGTAACCCGTGGTAATCTATCTGTGTATTTATAGAAATAAATGTAAACCTTAGCCTGTTATTTACTGCAGATGTAACACTACATTCAGATGCAGCTCCAGCACTGATTTGCTTTGTGTGACCCTGCAATAACCAGGGGGGCAGACGTTGACTGCATTCAGATCGGACACCATGACTGATCCGTCCACAGGGCTCTGTTCGAGGTGATGATACTGAAGACAAATTAAACAATTTTAACTGTAGCTCATGAGGTAGTGTGCCAAAGGGATTTAAAAGAAAAGTTGGGGGCTAGAAGATCAAATATACTGTGTGTGTGTGTGTGTGTGTGGTTTTAGGTTCTACCAGGGAATTTCTGTGAGGAAGACTGTTCCTGGAAATAACACTAAACAGAAAGAAAAAGGTTTAATTCCAGGAAATTAATCATGAACCATGACTGTTGTGTCTAAAAGAAACAAATTGATTGAAAACAGCAGCTTGTTCATGATTCCTGTGAGACTCTGTGGTTGTTGGACTCAGACAGAGGACGAATGTTTGATCCCTCATACTTTTGTGTGTTTTTCTTCTCGGAGGTAGGGAGAGTCAACTGGAGCACTCGGATGGATCTGACCCCTCAACCTGAGGGAAATGTAGGGGTGTGCTGAGACCACTGGTGTGTAATGTGTAGATACAGTGTGTCTTATGGATTTCTGACTACTTTTATTTGCTGCTATGATGGTGGGAATGCTTCTTTTTTTAAACTTATTTATTCTTTATTTATTATTCTTATTCTTTATTCTGTTCATACAAAGATATAAAAACATGGATGATAAAACACTAACATAAACAAACAGTACATGAATATAGGTGGGGTTCATAGTGGGCTGTAGCTGCTACTGAGGAGGACACTAAGGTCATGTCCTCTGTAATTAAAAACTGTGGATATTTTGTAGCAGCAGCATTTTTATTGTCAGTGTGTTTAACCCTCTTTTATGTCAACAAAATACATAAATAAGGCTTTCAGCATTTCTGCCACAGAGCGACACCACATACCATATCCCTGGCAGTATGGAGAGGTTTGAAAACAGCATTCAAATCTTCAAGTTGGGAAGTGAAATTGACAGAAAGTCAAATTCAACAGTGAATAAACCAAATACTTGTGACCTTTCTTATGGTGTATGGCGGGTGGCGTCTATCATGACCTCAGTCTACAGCTCTGGTTCATATTCGTTGATGTTTTCTCACTATATAACGTTAATACACAATATCCTCCCTGCAGCGTTAGCGTTTTAAACTAAGTCTCCAACGGGTGTACATCGTCGGTGTCATGGTGACGGATAACGTTTAAGAATGTAAAATCCAACGTTCGAGATGTGAACGTTTCTTTTTCCAACGGTCAAGTAAACCACCTGACACCCCGCAGCGGCCCCGCCCCTCGCATGACGTCGCCCTCCTCCTCCTTCCTCCCCGTCTCTCGCTCCGCTGCTAGCACCGTTAGCACTAGCAGGTTAGCCTCCAGCAGCTGTCGGTGGCAGTCAGTCAGCCCGTCAGTCCGAGTGCTGCTGCATTTGTAATCATCATCCTCCTCCTTCCCTCCCGTAGAAAAACCGTGGACGGCCGGGTTGTTTCTTCGGGAGCCAGCTGCCTCACCTCTTCGGGCTACCCGCGGTAAAATATTGTTGTCCTCGCCGTCACGACAGGAAGAAGCCCTGGGACATGGCCAGACCAGAACAAGTGCTGGTGCTAGAGCCACAACACGAACTGAAATTCAGAGGTAACACTGAAGCAGAGGGCAGGGCCGGGGGGGCGAGGTAGCTAACCGAGGAGACTAATGATAGCCACTGTGTCCATTTCTGCATTTAACCAGCTGTCTGCTTTCCACTAATGTGCCGTTATTAGTTGTTGCTGGTGTTAAAAGAGGCGGCTGTCGCTGGCTGCAGTGTGCGCTGTGTGTAGGACAGCAGCGGCGGTGACAGGTGAAGCCTCAGACACACAACGACGCTGTGTGCGACGGTGCTAACAGGCTAGCTACGTAGCACTCAGCTAAACCTGCTAGCAAGTGAAACTGCTAGCTAGCTGTCATTGCAGCGTCAGGGCAGGCCCGCCGTCCCTTTTCTCCATTTCACTCATTTGCTCGCTGTGCTTTGTCTTTTCTCCTTTTGACAGCATGTGAAAAACGGGGGTGTTATCTAACACTTGACGTACGCCCTCCCTCCGTCTTGTTGCGAACACCCGGCTGCCAAGAAGTGACTATTCTAGCATTTTCTACGATCAGGGTGTCATTCCTTCCTCCGCCTTGTTACTGTGCTTATTGCACAATACGTGAGCTAGCAGGCTTTGATTGAGAGCTTTGCCGTTTACTCTCACTCTGCAACCTGAATTCCTTCCCAGCTTTTCTATATCCAGGGCGTAATGATTGTGAAAATACAGACTGAGCTGCCGTGCCAGGGATAATGGCTATATTCTGAGATAATTGCCTTAGGGTGTGATATTGCTGTAGAAATGGGTCAAGTGATGTCCTGAGGTGATGGGATAGCGGGTTGTTCACTGATTGATTATTGCAGAGCTTTGAAGGCAAAGATAACCCAGGAGAAGATGCATACACCCACTCAGTTACTGATGCCCAGTGCAGAAAGCACAGTGAGGTTGTTTGTCCAGTGTGCATTTATGAAACCAATGTTCAGTTGTTAAAAGAGGTTGAATAATCCAGTCTGCAGTCAATGTCAGTAAACATGAGGGTTGCTTTGAGGGTGATCTACTTGTTACACGATATTAACACTTAAATGCCACAAAAAAAATGCCCATTTAGTAAGTTTTTGGCTGAGGGCGGGGCATGAATAATAAAGTCACTGCCTGCACACTTCACTGCTCTTTCCACTGTTTTAATGTTTAATGTGCGATGTTTACGGCCGGCTCTGTGGAGTCCCTGACACACACTACTCACACATTCATTCTCACAGACACACAACAAACAAGTGGCCGCTCAGTTTTGATTTTTTGTTTTAACCAGGACTCTAAACCATGCATACACATTACAAATACCTGTACACAAACTAGTAGACGTGTGTGTGTGTGTAAAATACCAGACACACACCCTTGTTGAGCTGCTGTGTTTCTCTGTGTCCTCCCCAGGCCCGTTTACAGATGTCGTCACTGCCACTCTGAAGCTCACCAACCCCACAGATAGAAATGTGTGTTTCAAAGTCAAGACAACTGCGCCTCGCAGATACTGTGTGCGCCCGAACAGTGGCATCATTGACGCTGGAAACTCCGTCAATGTTTCTGGTTAGTAAAAATGTTTGCATCCCCTGAAAACCAGACCGTGTGCACATTCAGAGAGCCGGGTGATGCTGATACAGATATCGGTATTTTTCACTTGGTGCCTTTAATAATGTGATTTTCTGTAGTTGTTTTTGGTATCTCAGGAAAAAATCACTACAACTGCGGGTCTAATGGCTGAGCAGGAGGAGGCATTTATTGATCATTTCACCCAACAGCAACACTAAAATGAAATCAGAAAATGGTATCATTTCACTGTAATGCCGGCTATTACACAAGGAGAAGACAGTGTTGAAGCTATATCAAGCTATCATGATAATCAGAATCTGACATGAAATCTAGGCCCATATGATTCAATTGATAAAGGTCCAGGAATAGAGCAATAAATGCACAACCACCAGCCAGCTTGTATTATGTTTCAGCACCAGAATAAATCTTCTAGCCTCACTTCTACAGCACTCGACCACTTAAGGTTCGAAATACTGTTCGGCAATCATTAGGAGGCATATCTGTAACACCGTTGCAGGTGCCAGGTAAAGCTATCTTCTTCCAAATTATTTGAAAATAAAAGAAGAATTGGGAATGATAGAAAGAAGTCGGGTTGTTAAATTGAAGAAATTTCATCATTATTATTATATTTATTATTATTATTATTGATTATTATTATTAGTAGTAGTATTATTATTACAACAGCTATCATGAGACAGAGTAGGTATTTGTATTGAACCTAAAATAATGGTCCCACGCTCTTATCATCAGCATTAAACCAAACAGGATTTGTTACATTCACTGCGATCAGAATCATTACTCTTCCGTGGTTAGATGACACTACAGATATGAGAAGTGAACATTTCAGCAGTAGTTGGTTCATGAGCAGGTCACCGTGGAACCCAAATCATAAACCTGACTGTTGTCTTTTCCTTTGCAGGTTGTGCAATAGTTGTTATGGGGAAATACAGGAAGTTAGTCTTTCCCTGATGTTCCGGCTCATTCTGTCATTGTTTTTGTCCACAGTTATGCTACAGCCTTTTGACTACGACCCCAATGAAAAAAGTAAACACAAATTCATGGTGCAGTCCATGCTGGCTCCGTACGACATGACTGACATGGAAGGAGTTGTGAGTACTAGAGCATAAACTATGATTTCTATACATTTATATTTATTTATGATTTAAACTACGTGTCTGTTGGAGTTTTTCCTGCTGAACCACACTGTAGACATCTGTATCTTTTGGAAACCTACACCACGTCCAGAATCCAAGTATGAACTTACACTGAATGTTCTTCCTGTCTGTCTCTCTTTCCCTCTTGATGTTCTCGTCCACAGTGGAAGGAGGCAAAGCCTGAAGAGCTGATGGATTCAAAGTTGAGATGTGCATTTGAGATGCCTCTAGAAAATGACAAAACTGTAAGTCTCACACTTTGGTTAATGGGTATTTGTTGTGCTACTCTTAAGCATTCAGTTATTACGTTTTCACACATCCCCATCAGATCTACAAACATGGAAATGTTGCATCGTGTTTTTTAGATTTTAGATCTTGGAGTCAAATCACATTAAAACACATTCACATTGCATGTTTCCTTTAGTTTTTTCCCAGTATTTTCTCAGTGTCCTACTCATTAGCATAACAGCTCACTGTATCACCCATTACATGCTTATTTATTTATTCATTTATGATTTATTTGTTTGGACTTTCATCTCACTCCCTATCATGTGTCTGCACGTCCCCTTCCGTCCCCTCCCTCTACTCTCACCTCACCGCCCTCCCCCACCCTCACTCTCTCTCCACAGCATGAGAGTGAAAGCAAAACTGTGTCTTCCTCTGCCTCCTCTGTTAAGACTGAGCTCTCCGCTCTGCCCAAGTCGGCCAGCGCCTCACTGGATGATGGAGAGGTGAAGAAGATCATGGAGGAGTGCAAGCGGCTGCAGATGGAGGTGCAGAGGCTACGGGAAGAAAACAAACAGATCAGGGTGAGGTGCACAAAAAAAGGGATGATCTGTCTGGTTTTTTTCACCCTTATATTTTCTACTGAAATGACAGAGGAAAAATCTATTTAATTTAATTTAAATGAAGGATACCATAAAGCTAGAGGCAAATGTGTATTTTGTAGCGTTTCACAAGTGCTGCTACGTATGAGCCAGAAAACTGAGCAACTGTCCTAAATTTCTCTAAAATCATCCCAATCATTGTCTGAATGGTAAATGAGGCTGCAGTTGAAGTAAAAAGCTGCTCATATCCAGTGACATTATGTAACTTAAAACATTCAAATACTCAAAAGGTTTATATTTCTCTGATATCATTGATCTATAACAAATTCAGCACCAGTGGCTGGAAGAATGTTCATCCCTTTCAGGGTTAAGTCCAACAGCTTTTAAATGATTACATTAAAAGTTAATGACCTTTTCTTGCATTTGGCAGAGCTTTAGTGTGAAGGCTTCTCTACTGTACTAACCAGTGTTGCCAACTTTTTGCAGGAGAGTAACTTTTGGCTGCTTTCAAAAATAGCAAGAAGTTCGTAACCTGAGACACTTTATCATTAAAAAAGGAGGAATAAAACTTGGCCTAACTGTAAATTTTATATGACAGCTTGTGAACTGTCCTGTTATGTCAAGTGTGTGTGTATTTGTGTGTGTTGTGCTGTTTTAACTGTTTCTCTGGCTCCTCTCTCTGTATGTCAGGAGGACGACGGGCTGCGGAAGAGAAAGGTGACCTCAGTGGCCGCTTCTCACTCCTCTTCCATGGCGACCTCGGCCATGAGGGACGAAGGCCTAAGCATCCGCATCCTGGCGCTCTGCGTGCTCTTCTTTGTCATTGGAGTCATCATTGGCAAGCTGGCCCTGTAGAGACACAGACAGACAGAGCACAGTGACGAACGGACGGATGGCGTGCTCGGGGAGACACGTGTCAATGACGGCAACGGGGATGTCTTCTGGGTTTATGTTGATTTCTCTTTCTTTTTTTAACATTTAAGGCAATATCATTATGGTTTGTCTGGATGGAAAATAATTTAATGTGTAAAAAGAAAACGAAAGAAGGCGATCCCAAGTTAAACCATGAGTGCGAGCGTTTTTGTCACAGGTCTTGCCTTTTTCTTTCTTTTTTTTTTGTGAAATAATCACCACCTCTGATCTGTTCTTTCCGTCCATCCCTCCTTCCTAAATGATCTTCCGCAACTTGCACAGATATCAGTTAGTGGTGTGTGGAAGTGGCTTCATGCTGGCTGAATGTCTAAAGTCTTTCATTTATTCTTTATTGATTCTCAAGTCTTCAAGTTCCTCACTCACGTTGTCTATAAGAAAGCTCTAACACTCTGATAAATCTCTCTTCCACTTATCACTGAAAATCTGCTCAGAGAGGTGCACACAAGTGTTCAGTGAATACTTTTTTTTTTTCCTGACTTAAACTCTATGTTTTGTCTTCTAAACATCGCCTGTAGAAGCCGTGTGTGTGTTTGTCTTCTTGATTTTGCCTCTCCTGCAAGAGTGCTGATGTGACTGCGTGTGGATGTTTTAATGTGAGGAGACCACAAACGGTGAAATCACAGGCTGTTTTAGAACGAAGGAAGAGGGGTGGGTTTGAAAACAAAACTGTCATCTGAACAGATTTCCTGTACGCAACAGAAAACCGGGGGTGGTTGTTAAAAAGTTAAGACAAAAAACTTTTGATCAGTTAAGTCGCTGACCAGAACAAGGAATCAGTAGAAATTCATTAAAACAAATATTTAGGGTTACTTGTTAAATTATAACTCTGTAAAATCAGGCTCATATTAAAGAATCTATGCTACACAGTGATCTAGTTCAAACACATAGTTGGAATTGAGTTGAATACATCAGATTTTCCCAGTTAACACTTGGATTTTTTTCGACAATTACTTCCTCAGGTTGAGAGAGAGGCACAAGATGGAAAGGAGAAAAAAAATCCCCCCCCCTTCAAGCAGAATGAACTCAGACATTTGCAATATATAACACAGTATGTAACAATAGTTTTGGCCACCTTGTTTAATTTTGCCCATGGAGTACTGTATTCGCGTCCTCTAGTGTATTTCAGCAGATGTTTGCTTTTTCCTTATATTACCATGTAGCCACGATGCTTCTGTTGTTTATAATATTCAAATGCACTATATTCAACTGTCCACTCTGCAGTCTGCATGAAATGACATGGATTTATGATTTTTATTATTATTTGTTTGAGTGTTGAAGTTATTTTAGCAAAACAAAAAAAAAAAATCTGTCTTTTCAAAAGGGACCATCTTGAGTCTGGTTTATCAGTTTGCGTGTGTTTTTGTGTCCTTTCGATTATCTTTTTCTTTTTGTTTCCTGTTGGGCTCTGGTGGTTGTGAGATAACTGAGACAACACAGCTGTATTATCTCGACTATCACATGACCATCTAAGCAGGTTGTTTAAAAAAAAAAAAAAAGGAAAAAGAATAAATATCTGTACTTTTCGTTGCCTGAGGGAGCTCGGGGAGCAGAGAAGTGGGAATGTGGGCGGCTGGGAGGAGGACTGACCTGTGAATACACACTACATCAAAGAGGAAAAAAAAAAAAGGCATCAGCGCTTCAGACCACACATGCAAAGATACAGTCACACAACAATGTAATCACACAGTAATTGGATACTCTTTTGTATGTACATAAAAATAAAAAGACTTAAAAAGATACTGGCAAAGTTATTAACATACTGTAGTAAAGGAAGAAAATAATTGAACAACCACCATGGATCATGTAGCATCATAATGAATTAAAATACATAAACCCCCAACTGTCTGCTTCTGTGAAAAGTTTGTATCATTTAGTGTGCATGTGTGGTTGTAAAACAAGTATCGGGTGCAGAACCACTAAACCAGTGCTGTTATAGAGGATACTCAACTAAGTGAATTAAAGGAGCACCCCACTGACTTCACTCAAGATCAGGTTACTCTTCACAAACTGTTGTATAATGTCTACTGTGGCTCTGAAGGGAGCTAACAAAGTCATCATAATACAATCGTAATTGGGGGCTTTAAGCTACGAATTCTTAAGAGAAAGACTCTGTTGTAAAGTGGAGTTACGAAGATGTGGCCCTTTACCAGGTAGGGAGGGTCCAAAGTAGGAAGTGTTTCTACAGTTTGACCCACACTAGTGCATTTGACTGTTCTATATAACTTTATAAGCGCTATCCTAAATTGCTGGAGTACCCCCTTTTAACCCTTATAGATCCCCACCTGACATTATAGGACATTTTAAAACAATAAATGCTGGATGTCTTCTTGTACACTTTAAAATATATATATATATGTTTGCACTTGAGGCTTCAAGTTTCACATCACACTAGTGTACAGTGAATGCTGGACCAGGTCCAGATACACGTCTCACACACACATCAGTGCATGTAGAGCAACCTTCAAGTATCAAACTGCACAGTGAAGCTCAAACATCTAAGTGACAATAAGCAAAATAGATATTTGAGTGGAGGGGGTCTTTAACCTCCTAACTATCAGATCAGAAAGGTTATATGTTATATATGTTATATTTTTCAGTTATATAGTGTTAAAGAACGTGGTAGATATTAGATAAAGTAAACTTGTGTATATATATATATAGAGGTTTACAGAACTAAACTTCAGGCTGCAGGTTTTGGATGATAAAGCAATAATGACAAAGTAAAGAGGGTTTCATAACTGCATTAAAAGCCCCGCAGCACCGCTCAGGGCTCCAGCAGGTCTCCAGTTGCCCAGCAGATGGAGACATTGATCAAACGAAGCAACGCCCACCCCCTCATCGGGCAACGTGACGTCATCGGGCCTTATCCAGGAAGTGAAAACATCAACAAGCCTTCCAGCACAGGGCGAAGTGTCAGTGTAGCCTAGCAGCGACGCAGCGACGCGGGTTTTATTGGGTGTTTCACAGATTTGTTTTATTATTTTTTTTTTATATATATATATATAATTAGCGCGTTGTAGCATCCCAGATATGTCGTTGTTAGGTAAGCTGTTCGGTGGAGGAGGAAAAGGAGGAAAGGGACCGAGTCCACAGGAGGCGATCCAGAAACTCCGAGAGACGGAGGAGATGCTAACCAAGAAACAGGAATTTCTAGAGAAAAAGATCGAACAGGAACTGCAAATTGCCAAGAAAAACGGCACGAAAAACAAACGAGGTGAGATATCAGGGCGTATTTCCGTGTAGTATTCACTCTTCATCATCATATTCCCTGTTTGAAAACCCTCGGCTAACTGTTAGCACGTTAGCTAACTTGGCTAACTTTCCCGAGCTGTCACATAACTGTTGTTCGCCTTTATTACGGTCGCTATCACGGTGTTTGAGCTGATTGTGTGTGGGATTTGACCTGATTATTGATTCTCGTTGACTTGTTTTCGGTGAGGTAATGCTCGGCTTGTCTGTGGCTGATGGTCCCTGTACATCTGATCGATCAGTGGCCATTTAACAATACCGAAGCGAGTTAAAGGTGAGGAAAGCGACAACCCAGCTCAGTTACATCTCCTCCAGCAGAGAGACTATACAGAGACTGGCTCGGTGTGTCAGGACAGGGGTTGAGCACTGGAGGTGCACATGTCTAAAGGACGTGTTATCTGCTGTCAGAGAGGTGGGCGTGTTTGCACTTTGGTCTGTGTGAGTCTGTATAGAAACATACAGACCTCCAGAGGTTCCTGCAGCTGCCTGATACATTGTTATACACTTTATTACGTATGTTATATATTATAAAGCCGCTAAACAAATACAACGACCCACAAAATTATATATATATTTTTTTTACCACCAGTAATTGACAATAAGGAAACAAAAATATTACAATAACCAGAAGAGCATATACTATACATAACAACATATTACAACATTATCGCATTGTAAAGATATAGGTGTGACCTGTTAAGGAGGAGGAAGTCAAACCTGGACTGTTGTTGACAAAGTTTCACATTTTGGGGTGAGAAAAAAGAAAATGTTTTGTCCAGTGGAGATGATGAATGAGGTCGGTTGGCTGTTGTTTAATTAATTTAATTAATTATAATTGTTGTTTGTGTAAGAATGGACATTTTGGGCTGATGGCAACACTTGAATATAGATCAACTGGTCACAAGAAATGTTTGGATAAATCCTCTGGGACCATGAACATCAATAGTGCATAATCTAAAATGTCTTATCGTGCATGAGAGTGTTGATTGAGGGTAAAATACAAGGTCAGGGGTCACCAACATTAGTGGCAATCTTCTTGGGAGCACAAATATCTAAACCTCATGAACAGACTGAGCAATGGACCAGTGTTGCTACAAGTGGGGCAACAAATGTTGTTGTCATTACAATGATAGGATATCTATATTGCCATGCCACACGTTGTAGTTTAAGTTATCCATTAAGTGAAAACTCACTGGAGGTTGATAAAGTATCCGTGTTGCAGACTCTTTGTTGTTACAGTGCATTAAATAAAAGTCTCGTACTTTGCTTGAATACTTTGTGTTTGTTGTTATTTCCTCCTCCGACTCCACAGAGGTTGACAGAATGAGTCAACGCAGCATGACACACTCTGATAGTGTCACTACAGCCGATCAGGTGTGAGTTAGTGGTTGTGGTCATGTGACTCCTGTGGCTGATTGATTTTTACTTTCCAGCTTTTCCATCCAGTCAGCCAAGTGCCAGAGAGAAGTTGTCCTCCTTGTTGATCTGTCACTAACATGGTAGATTACTGTGTGGTATGGAGCTCTGTACTTTCACAGAGCACAAGATGTGGTGCTGACAAACGTTACAAATGTTTAACCGCACGTATTCTGTCTCTCATTCCTGTTTAATGACAAAACAATCCCCATGATTCCCAGCTTTACTTCACTGTCACTGAAGTTACGTTTCTATGCTGTCGGTCTATTTCTGTGGCAGTCTGCTCATCCTGACTCCTTCCCTTCTGTCTGTCTCTACTCAGCGGCTCTGCAGGCTTTGAAAAGAAAGAAGCGGTATGAGAAGCAGCTCGCTCAGATCGACGGCACGCTGTCGACCATCGAGTTCCAGAGAGAGGCTCTGGAGAACGCCAACACCAACACTGAAGTGCTCAAGAACATGGGCTTCGCCGCCAAGGCCATGAAGTCTGCCCATGAAAACATGTAAGAGCGAGGACCCAGTCACTGATTAAGTTCTTTACTATTCGACTGATCTATTGGACTTAAACCTGTTTATAAAAATATTATATTCGTAGCCTGGTCCAGTGTGTAAGTGAGTATCTATTCCCAGAAATGGAATATAATGTCCACAGGTATGTTTTCATTAGTGTATAATCAACTGAAATTATAGCCGTTGTTATGAGGGTGCAGGTCCTCTCCTACGGACTGCCGTGTTTCTACAGTAGCCCTTTAATTGCCTTTATGGGATTACAGAAAAAGATTCCATCTGCTATAAATCAATAGAAAGGTTATGAGGAATATGCTTCACTTCACACAGAGGATTTGACCCATATTCAGTAATAACTCCCAAATCCAAACCCATCAGCACAAGATGTTATTTGAATCAGTGATTTATAAAACTAATAATAATATGAAGAATATATAATAGCGCGTTCTGTTTTACTCACACGTATCCTCCCCTGCGTATTGTTTCAGGGACATTGACAAGGTGGACGACCTGATGCAGGACATTACAGAGCAGCAGGAGCTGGCCCAGGAAATCTCTGACGCCATCTCTAAACCTGTCGGCTTTGGAGAGGAGTTTGATGAGGTGAGCGATGATTTTAAATGTAGTGTCCTGATTCCTGCTTTAAAACGGTTGGCAGTGTATCTGCTAGTGTCTGATTTATTTAGATATTTATTATAAATATTGTCTCAGGCTAATCTGACACTACAGAGCTGTCACACACTTGTTTTGTTTCTGTGTTGAACGCACAGTAATAAATGATGCACTGACAGAGTTAACCCAGCAGAGCAAAGTTCAGCATCACCCTTGATCCTGTCCAGTATTGTTTAGTGAGCCACCAGGCTAAACGCAGTATGTTGACGTCTGTGTTCCTGTTGTCAGTTGCCGTGTGGATCTGAAGCCGTGGTGAAATCAGCGGCTTAGTTGCTTGAATGGTTGTGGGGTATTCCATACAAACAAACCTCACCAAATATTTGGTGTTGGGTCATCCTGGGATAATATGGCAGAAAGAATGAATCCACTCTGTCTCCAATTCCCAGTCAACTGACTTATTTAAGTTTAAGTATTTTAATTCATCTCAGACACATGAGCTTAGGACCAGATTATACCGCCCTAAACTAACTGTTGTGTGGTATGAATTAGTTTGTGTTCATCCTCATCTGAAAGTGTTTGCTGTCTTTCTCAGGACGAGCTGCTGGCAGAGCTGGATGAGCTTGAACAAGAGGAGCTGGACAAAAACCTGCTGGAGATCGGGGGATCAGAGAACGTCCCCCTCCCCAACGTGCCTTCATCTTCATTACCTTCCAGACCTGGTAAGAGAGGCAGAGAGGAACAAATCCCCACACAGAACCAGATTTTAAGTTCCATCTCTAGTCCACAGCCGGGCTCCACATGATCAGACTTAATTATCGGCCGAAATTCCATTATCAGAACTGATCAATCAGCCGACCAATATAGGCTCTCTATATCCTGAGCGTGGTCTCACTCTTCTCTTCATTTAACTCCCATTAAACATTTGTTTCCCAGGTTCTGATCCTGAATTCAGTTAACATTACCGTACCAACTCATTCACATCTCTCACAGCTTTTATTTCTGTCTTTCCTCCTCTCGCACCTAAAAGCCAAGAAAGAGGAAGACGAGGACGACATGGAG